AATCGTGAATTTGTATACATCATGTTCTCATCACATTCCCTGCTCTCGATTGTCGTCCTCGGTAATTCATATTGCTAAACAGTTTATTTACTCAGTCGTCCGTGATGGCGGCAAGGCACTTACCTTTAATCAAAAACGTGTATAAATTCAGGTCGAATGCGATCATTCTGCATGTTATTTCACACAATCACTGATTAAGATGTATCTCGAAACGTGTGTACTGTTTGATTGCCGTTTCGATGGCGGCTACATCGTATGTGATTAAACACGCGTAAATATTTGAATATCACTGGAACAAATCAAATAGTTTTTAACCAATACATAACATTTGTCTGATAAGCGTCGTACACGACCACCGCAACACCATACAGCGAACGGCTGATTCAATTTAAAATTACAAATGGACTCTATCATGAAAACCTCATATCATAGCCATCACGTGACTCCTGCTTTCATGTTCGTAATCACCCGTCATTTTCGGTTGAATGTGTAATAATCCAGTGGCAGTTTTCTTTAAAAGGAGAGCATTTCTGTGAATATGAAATAAACACAACTCTACCAACATGCGTCAAATATTTATTTATTTATTAGGATGCTAATATACTGCGAATGGACACATCTCTATGTACCACAAACCGTACGATGGTTTTAATGAGAAATGCGAACTTGTATTATTTACAATGGTATGGTGGTACATTTAAATACAAATATGTCATTGTATTAAAAAGGTATGGTGTTTGTTTAACAATGTATGGCGGTATTACATAAAGGTATGGTGGTATACCATTATTTACAAAGGTAAAATGGTATACCATTATTTACAAACGCATGGTGGTATACCATTATTTACAAAGGTATAGTGGTATACCATTATTTACAAAGGTATGGTGGTATACTATTATTTACAAAAGGTATGGTGGTATACCATTATTTACAAAGGTATGATGGTATACTATTATTTACAAATGTATGATGGTACTGTATACCATTATTTACAAAGGTGTAGTGGTATACCATTATTTACTAAGGTATGGTGGTATACTATTATTTACAAAGGTATAGTGGTATACTATTATTTACAAAGGTATGGTGGTATACTATTATTTACAAAGGTATGGTGGGATACTATTGTTTACAAAGGTATGGTGGTATACTATTATTTACAAAGGTATGGTGGTATACCATTATTTACAAAGGTATGGTGGGAGACTATTATTTACAAAGGTATGGTGGTATAGTATTATTTACAAAGGTATAGTGGTTTACCATTATTTACAAAGGTATGGTGGGAGCAATAGCATTAACAGATACATCCTAGACGACAGCCACGTTCTATGCTGAAAAAATGTGATAAGTTTCCCCCTATTTTTACTGCTGAGTGAATATTTTGTTGAAACAGTTTTATCCAATTAATTATAGATGGGCCAAATTTGAAATATTTTAGGGTTTTTGCTATAAAGGTCCAAGAAACAGAATCGAAGGCTTTTTCAAAATCAATGAGAAGTATAAGTCCATGAATATCACAGTCTTGTGTATATTGTATAACATCATATATTAAAAGAGTATTTTCCCGTATGTATCTACCAGGAATAAAGCCAGTTTGGTTGTTACTTATTGGTTATTATTGTTTTTAATCGTTCAGCTATTGCACCAGATGCCATTTTATCAATATTATTTAGAAGGGTAATTGGTCTCCAGTTTTATCCCCTTTTGGGATGCAAGTAATACTTCCTTGTTTCTGTGTTTCTGATAGTTCAGATATAGTATAACCATAATTTATTGATCTAAGAATAAAATGCCCTAACTGTTTCCGAAATACTTAAAAAATTCAACAGTGAAACCATCTGAACCAGGACTTTTATTATTTTTCATTTTTTAAGGGGTTTTGCTAATTCAATAATAGTAATTGGACCTTCTAAACTTACTGTTTCAAGGGGGGATAACTTTGGCACAATATATAGTCTTAAAAGTTCGTTGAGATCAACATCCTGAAGTAACTGATTTTTCTTATACAAGTTTTCATAGTAGTTTTTAGTTTCCTTTCAGATTTCTGTTTGATCTAAAATTACAGTCCCATCTTCTTTAGTTATATTAGAAACAGAATAAACCACAGAATTCTCACTACAAAAACATTTTTATTCAAAATTGGCAAATCACACAATAACCTTTGCACTTTCTGTAAAATTAACCCTGAAACAATAGCTCATATGCTATAGGATCGCGAAAAAGTTGATAGGCTAATTGACGAGCTGAAAACAAATATTATAACTAAAAACCTTACACTAAGATTTGAAAAACAAGAATTCCTTTTTGGTAAACATACATATAACCATAGAAAGTTTTATATAGAAAACATCATAATACTACTTATAAAACAATACATATATACAACTAAATGCCTAGAAATATACCTTAATCTGACTAGTCTCAAAAACCATGTAAAATTTGAATGAAAAACACAAAGGATCCTTGTATATAACAGAATAAATTAATAAATAAGGATGAGTTAAACCATCAAATAAATAACTTGATGCAGTTATAATATGACTATATACATATATATACATGACATATTTGTTCTATACATATATACATCTATTGTACTTTATCGTCTCCTCACTGTAATAATAATCATTAAATATTTCATACATTTTAATTCGCCAGGCTTAGTTTAAAATATAATGACCTAGGATTGCTCCCCATCCCCTGTAATGTTTTGAGTTGTTGTTTTTTTGTTTTTTTTTTCAGTTTATTTGGTTTTGCTCTTGTGTGTTTGATGTCATAGGTTTATATATATTGTTTTTGCATCAGTGTCTCAGTGTATGTCTTTATGTATGTACATCACATTGGCAGTTTTTTAATATCTGCTTATGATATCAGATAAAAATGATGACATATGATAATTATGGCTGATGATGATGAGGATGATGTAAGACAATTATTATGATGATGATGATGATGATGATGATGTCAGATGATAATGTTAATAATATAAGATGATGATGAAGATGATAATGTTGATGATGTCATATGATGTCAGATGATAATATTAAGAATAATATCTTATATGATAATGATGATATCTGATGATGATGTCAGATGATGGTGATGAGGATGATGATGTTAAGAATTATGTCAGGATGAGGATGATGATGATGATGGTGAAGATGATGATGATGTAAGATGATAGTGATGATGTGTAGAAAAATGTCAGGACAGATGTAGTCCGAATTATTCTGACGTTTTATCGACATTTTTCATATCGGTTTGTCGTCGGTTAACGTCAGAGCGCACTTCAAACTGATATTTTAGAAACAAATCGTCACTTTCACACACATGTCGCACATGGATCGAAAGATCTATCCTTTATGCACAAGATGAACATACATAACATGCCTCAAACAACCAATACAATAACTAAAAACATATTTTTTCAAACTTACTCTGTTTTACTCTAGTTTTTTGATAGCCCCGCCTTCTAATGCCACGTGACTAAAATCTCGCCGGCCTACGTCATAACGTTGGGAAATACCTTCGGTAACGCGAGATCTCGTCAAGTCATGTGACATTGCTCGTGGCCTAATTTTCATTAAAAACATGGGTTGGTATAGAAAACGTTGGAAAATACTTTTCGTAATGATACTTGAAACATGTTAATGATACCACCTAGTGCATAAAGAATAGATCTTTCGATCCATGTGCGACATGTGTGTGAAAGTGACGATTTGTTTCTAAAATATCAGTTTGAAGTGCGCTCCGGGCGCGGGTCGCATATTTCCCGCATATTATAGAGGGCCGGAGTTCTGACGTTAATCGACGACAGACCGATATGAAAAAAGTTGATAAAACGTCAGAATAATTCGGACTAGGACAGATGATGATGTCAGATGATAATGATGATAGTGTTAATAATAATATCTTATATGATGATGATGATGTCTGATGATGATGATGTCAGATGATGATGACGATGATCTTTGTTTAATATGTATGAACAATTATGTACTTATGAACAATGTCATATAAGTTTTGTCTTGTAAAAAATAAAATAAAAAAAAAATTAAAAAAAATAATCATATTGTTTGCAAATACCGGGAACTTTTCAGTTCTCCATGACAAGGGGATTCCCATAAAAAGTAGTTCCGGCTAGTAGGTAAATACAACATTCCGTATTGCACATGTGCAATATAGAACGTTGTATTTCATGGTATGAAAATTGCTTGTATTACTATAACAAGATTCAACAGGTATGAGATAAATTTGGTTAGTATCTGGCTTAGATGAAGGGCTAACAAGCATATTTAATTGAGAGACCTTCTCTTATAATCAAGGACACAGTGGTCAAACGTGTTGAACTCAACGTCCCAGGGCGGTGATCGATATTTGGCCATTAGCGTGCTGGAATGAAAGGCTGTTGAGTTCGGATCAACTGTGTTCAAATATTGTAACATGTTATTTTGATAATGATATTGAGTCTGTAGCTTTATTTAACAGTTTAAATGTATTTAACATTTGTCCGCTTTAAGGTTAACATTGTCAGATTTATAGCAAATGAGCAGTGCAGGCCCATTGGGACATTTGTTGAAAATTTATAGCAGTATTACAGTTAAAGGTGATTTTCATAAACGGAACTTTAATAAAATAATGCTGGCTTTTCAGACGCATGGCGAAACAAACACATAACTGAGAATAATATACAGGGTATACGTATAGTCTAGCGGTAGGACGCCGGGCTCGTGACCGAAGGGTTGCGGGTTCGAGGCACGGCACTTTATTGTATCCTTAAGCAAGATACTTTACTCAGCTTGTTCCAGTCTACTCGGCTGTAAATGAGTACGTGGTTGGGTAGTGCTAGAATTGTTGAATGCTAGCTGTGAGTGCCGAATGACAGCACTAGCTATATGCTCCCCGGGGAGTTGAGAAATATATTAGCTGGTTGCAAAGGCCCTATAACCACGGATAATAATTTGTGAACCGATTTGAAACGACCTACGAACTAGGTTGTGATAAAGCGGTATATAAGAACCTCGAATTATTGTTATTATTATTAAATAACGGCAGCAAGAATTCGATGGAGCATCAGAGCACAAAGTTGTAATTTGTCAATTTATCCAAAATTACTGCAAAACAAACATACATGTACGAATCTTTATGCTAAAAAGTAATAGATTTTTTTAACTTTGTGCCATAATCCTCACTGATATAATCATTGAAAATCAAATTTAACTATCGTATGCTCATAACTGTCTCCGTAAAGTAATTGTAACCACTGCAGTATTCGCCCATAGTGGCCATACTGTTCCGTACTCCGTAGCCGCCGTTAATATTAAGCCAAGTGCACCCTTGGAACCACCAGCCTCCTTTGCGGTTAGTAGCACAGCTTGACCTGTCTCTGTCTTTGGCGTAGAACTCCATGCCATCATTGTAAGTGAACGTATAAGTACACATTCCGGCGGAAGCCACGTGACCAGACACGTGCAGTTTGTAATATGCTGCGGAATCGTCGATGGTAAAGGAGCTGTATTGTAATAACAACCAGACATTCGTATCTTTGAGCAGATCGAACTTGACTGACCGAGGCTGCCTTGTCATGATGTACATGAACTCCAGTCCGAGCCAGAATTCGCCGTGAAGGGAGCCGAATCCGTCCACGTAATTCTGGTAGGTCCGACTGAAGACCTCGGTGTTGTTGACCCTATGTTGGAGTATTGTCCAGCCTCCGGCCGTCATGTTACATAACACGTTGAATACCACCCCGGTCTCGGTCGTCATTTCGTATATACCGTCTTTGGTATGGCCAGAGTCTAGTAACTCCAAACAGGCTGCAAGGAAAATATAATATATATATTAATATTTTATGGTTGTTTGAATTCGTGGGGAGAATATTTAGCGGTTGTCCCAATCGGAACAAGTTCGCGGGAATCAAATTTCGCGCAGACTGGCAAGGTTACAGTATCGCGCCCATGAGGGTACTTAATTCAAGTGATCATAGTGGGGTTTATTTTACAAGCGTTTTGTGAAAATAAAAGAAAATGCGATATTGAATTGTTGTTTTGTCTTCATTTTTGTGCAGTTAACGCGTTAGCAGTTTTTTTAAGTAAATATCTATTCATGGAACATAATCCATGGTAATAATATTTGTCGAGTACTTTGTTTCAAGCTATCTTATATCGCACAATCAAATATCCGCTTATATCACAAACTATACAGTAAAATGCATATAGTTGAGGATTTTCACTTATGTGTTACACTGTCTGATCAAGTCAAACGGTTTTATTCCACACAAGATAAAATGTGTCCACATAGGTATTCACTATTTTCAGACATTAGACATACAGCAACACTGAGCAAACCCTTACGTTAACCTTTTACACATACAGCACCACTGAACAAACCCTACGTTAACCCTTTACACGTACAGAAACGCTAAAAAAACCCTTACGTTAACAATTTACACATACAGGAACACAGAACAAACCCCTACGTTAACCTTTTACGTGTAAAGGGTTAACGGATGGGTTTGTTCAGTGTTTCTGTATTTGTAAAGGGTTAACGGAAGGGTTTGTTCAGTTTTTCTGTATGTGTAAATTGTTAACGTAAGGTTTTGGTTAACGTAAGGGCGTGTTCAATGTTTCTGTATGTGTATAGGGTTAACCCTTTACACCTACAGCAACACTGAACAGGTAAATACAACATTCCGTATTGCACATGTGCAATACGGAATGTTGTATTTACCTGTTCAGTGTTGCTGTATGTGTAAAGGGTTTACGTAAGGGTTTGTTCTAAAAGGTTAACTTAAGGGTTTGTTCAGCGTCGCTGTATGTGTATAGGGTTAACGTAGGGGTTTGTTCAGTGTTGCTTTATGTGTAAAAGGTTAACTTAAGGGTTTGTTCAGCGTCGCTGTATGTGTATAGGGTTAACCCTTTACACATACAGAAACACTGAACAAACCCTTACGTTAACAATTTACACATACAGCAACACAGAACAAACCCTTACGTTAACCCTTTACACATACAGAAACACTGAACAAACCCTTACGTTAACCCTATACACATACAGCAACACTGAACAAACCCATACGTTAACCCTTTACACATACAGCAACACTGAACAAACCCTTAGGTTTACCTTTTACACATACAAAAGCACTAAACAAACCCTTACGTTAGCCTTTTAAACATACAGAAACACTAAACAAATCCTTACATTAACCCTTTACACATAAAGCAACACTGAACAAACCCATACGTTAACCCTGGGGGCATACAGCAACACTGAACACACCCATACGTTAACCCTGGGGGCATACAGCAACACTGAACACACCCATACGTTAACCCTGGGGGCATACAGCAACACTGAACACACCCATACGTTAACCCTGGGGGCATACAGCAACACTGAACACACCCATACGTTAACCCTGGGGGCATACAGCAACACTGAACACACCCATACGTTAACCCTGGGGGCATACAGCAACACTGAACAAACCAATACGTTAACCCTTTACACAAACAGAAGCACTGTACAAACTCTAACGTTAACCTTTTACACATTCAGAAGCACTGAACAAACACTTACGTTAACCTTTTAAACAAACAGAAACACTGAACAAACCCCTACGTTAACCCTATACAAATACAGCAACACTGAACACACCCATACGTTAACCCTGGGGGCATACAGCAACACTGAACACACCCATACGTTAACCCTGGGGGCATACAGCAACACTGAACAAACCCGTACGTAAACCCTTTACACATACAGAAGCACTGTACAAACTCTAACGTTAACCTTTTACACATACAAAAGCACTAAACAAACCCTTACATTAACCCTTTACACATGCAGAAGCACTGAAAAAACCCTTACGTTAACCAAAACCTTACCTTAACCCTTTCCTCATACAGAAGCACTGTACAAACCCTTACGTTAAACAAACCCTTACGTTAAACAAACCCTTACGTTAAACAAACCCTTACGTTAGCCTTTTAAACATACAGAAACACTAAACAAACCCTTACATTAACCCTTTACACATACAGAAACACTGAACAAACCCTTACGTTAACCTTTTAAACATACAGAAACACTGAACAAATCTTACGTTAACCAAACCCTTACGTGAACCCTTTACACATACCGAAGCACTGAACAAACCCTTACGTTAACCAAACCCTTACGATAACCCTTTACACATACCGAAGCACTGAACAACCCCTTACGTTAACCTTTTAAACATACAGAAACACTGAACAAACCCTTACGTCAACCTTTTAAACATACAGAAACACTGAACAAACCCGTACGTTAACCATTTACACATACAGAAGTACCGAACAAACTCTTACGTTAACCTTTTACACATACAGAAACACTGAACAAACCCTTACGTTAACCATTTACACATACAGAAGTACCGAACAAACCCTTACGTTAACCTTTTACACATACAGAAGCACTGAACAAACACTTACGTTAACCTTTTACACATACAGAAGCACTGAACAAACCCTTATGTTAACCCTTTACACCTACAGAAGCACTGAACAAACCCTTTCGTTAGCCCTTTACACACACAGAAGCACTGAACAAACACTTACGATAACCCTTTACACACACAAAAGCACTGAACAAACTCTTACGTTAACCCTTTACACATACCGAAGCACTGAACAAACCCTTACGTTAACCCTTTACACGTACAGAAACGCTAAAAAAACCCTTACGTTAACCCTTTACACATACAGAAGCACTGAACAAACCCTTAAGTTAACCTTTTACACATACAGAAGCACTGAACAAACCCTTACGTTAACTCTTTACACATACAGAAGCACTGAACAAACCCTTACGTTAACCCTTTACACATACAGAAATACTAAAAAACCCTTACGTTAACCCTTTACACATACAGAAGCACTGAACAAACCCTTACGTTAACCTTTTACACATACAGAAGCACTAAACAAACCATTACGTTTACTCTTTACACATACAGAAGCACTGAATAAACCCTAACGTTAACTTTTTAAACATACAGAAACACTGACCAAACCCTTACGTGAACCCTTTACATATACAGAAGCACTGTACAAACTCTTACGTTAACCTTTTAAACAAACAGAAGCACTGAACAACCCTTTACGTTAACCCTTACACACACGAAAGCACTGAAAAAACCCTTACGTTAACCCTATACACATACAGCAACACTGAACAAACCAATACGTTAACCCTTTACACATACCGAAGCACTGAACAAACCTTTACGTTAACCCTTACACACACGAAAGCACTGAAAAAACCCTTACGTTAACCCTATACACATACAGCAACACAGAACAAACCCTTACGTTAACCTTTGAAACATACAGAAGCACTGAACAAACCCTTACGTTAACCAAACCCTTACGTTAACCCTTTGCATATACAGAAGCACTGTACAAACCCTTACGTTAACCAAACCCTTACCTTAACCTTTTACTCATACAGAAGCACTGTACAAACCCTTACGTTAACCTTTTAAACATACAGAAGCACTGAACAAACCTTTACGTTAACCCTTTACACACACGAAAGCACTGAAA